TGAGGCCATCATCAAGGCTAAGGCCAGTTTTTTCAATGGTAAGTACCTGGTTTCTATGCCTAGCAATGTCTTGCTGACATAAAAGATGGGCAGATGTTGGATTCCTTCCGCTCGGACCAACATTGCGCTAATTGTGTGCTGTGAAACTGCCAGGTACAAAAATAGTTCTTCTCCAGGTATTGGGGTCACTAGCAGTGGTGGAAAAGACATGTATTCCTTCAAACTTTCTAGGGCGCGGTCACATTCTTCATCCCACTCAAACTTAGCTTTTAATGCTTGAAAAAATGGTCGACATCTGTCTGACGATCGACTTATGAACCGGTTTAGCGCGGCTGTCATACCGGTGAGATGCTGTACTTCTTTCACTGAGTTGGGCCTCTCTAGATCCTGAATTGCTTTGATTTGAAAAGGGTCTGCCTCTATACCTCTGTTGGTCACCAGGAAGCCTAGGAATTTGCCCGATCCTACGCCAAACGCACACTTAGATGCATTAAGGCGCAACTTGTGCTTCTTTAGGATCTGAAACATCTCACCTAGGTCCCTAAGATGGTCATTCTCATCCTTGCCTTTGACTACCATATCATCAATGTAAGCCTCCATTGTTCTGCCTAACAATGGTTCGAACATCTTAGTGATCATCCGCTGGAACGTTGCCCCTGCGTTTTTTTGGCCAAAGGGCATGACCTTGTAGCAATACAGTCCTCTTGGCGTTGTAAAGGATGTGACCTCCTGGTCCGGTTCATACATAGCGATCTGATGGTAACCTCTATACGCATCAAGAAAGCTAAGTCGATTGTGTCTTGCCGTTAGGTCTACCAGTTGGTCTATTCGTGGTAGAGAAAAGCTGTCTTTTGGGCATCCCTTGTTGACTTTTTTGTAGTCCACGCAAACACGCCATTTTTCATTCTTCTTTGGCACCACTACTGTATTGGATATCCACTTGGGATGGTGCACTTCTTTGATAGCTCCTGCCTCTAGAAGGTTTCCCACTTCTTCCGCCACTATCTCGGCGTGGTGGAGTGCTGATCTGCGAGTGCGCTGTATGATTGGTCTTGTAGTTGGGTGGACATTCAATTGGTGACAGATGAAGTTTGGGTCAATACCAGGCATGTCATACGGCGTCCAGGCAAACACTTCGATGTTAGAGGTCAAGAATTCCATGACCTCTATTCTCTCGGTGCTGGACATAGATAAGCAAAGCAAAAAGAACTTTTCTGGGTCCTTTTCATCTGTTCTTACCTGTACCAAGTCTTCCACTGCCTTCTGTTCAGCGGCTTTGCCAACATCCGCAAACAATTCATTGCTCTCAGGTTCTTCCACCATCTGAACAAACCCTTTGGCAGTTCGGCTGCCATTTACTATGACGAAGCACTGCTTGGACATAATTTGGTCTCCAAAGACCTCTTTAATTACTCTGGCTTCGTTGGGGAACCGCATTACTTGATGGTAGGTTGACGCTACCGATTGCATGACATGCAGCCATGTCCTTCCCAAGATTATGCTGTAAGTGGAAGGGACTTTCAATACCCAGAATTTCACTTGTTTCATCATGCTCCCTGCTCTGATTGGGAGGATAATCTTGCCAACTGGCCACTCTGGCGTTGAGTTGAATCTGATCAGGGGAGATACGGCAGGTGCCAAGTCTTTGTCCTCCAATTTCAGTTGCTTGAATGTTTCGTAATACATTATCTCACATGAGCTCCCTTAGTTAATCAAAATTCGCTTAACGTCATAATCCTTGACGTGGAGAGTGACAACCAGTGCATCGTTATGAGGGTAATATATCCTTGCAAAGTCTCTGTCTAAAAAAGACATGATGTTCGTGGCCTCTGTTCTTCCATTTTTAATGGTAGGTTGCGTATTTAATACCTCCCTTAAGTGCTCAGCCTTCTTAATTATTCCCCTGAGCTCACATACTCACTCAGGTTCGAATATCCCATGTATTACGTTTATCACGCCTTGAGGTCGGCGTTCCGTCTGGGTGATCGTGGTTTTGGGGGTCTGGCTGCGTCCCTCCCTTAATGTACTGGTCCAGGTGCCTAACTGCCACTAACTCTTCCATATGTTGTCTCAACGACGTGCAATTCTCAGTGCGGTGCCCTTTTTCCTTATGAAAGGTGCACCGGGATCTTTCGTCATAGTCCTTTTGTGCCTCTCCCAATTTAGCTGGCCATCTGACGAAAGGTTCATCGCGTATCTCACTGAGAATTCGATAGATCGGTTTTTTGAACACCGTGGTAATGGCAGTGCGGATTCTCAACTACCTTTTATCGTGGTCCTCTCTGTTGTCCCGTCTGCCTCGCCTGTTTCTGCTCGAATGTTCTACCGCGTTGACTTTTGCCGTAGTCTTTTTATCTAGTGTTGCGGTTGTACCAGACTTTGTTTTAGCACGGGCGCCATCCTCCTCTACCCGAATGTGCTGGTGTACCCTCTCCATTAAGGCTTCCATTGTGAGGGGTGGCGTCATGGTGATTGAGTCCCTCAACCTGTTTCTAACTGGAAGACCTCTTTTGTACTGCCCGATGGCGAGATTTGTGGGGCAATCTCCTATCTGGTTGAAGGTCTCCCAATAACGACTGTTGTAGGATCTCAGCGTCTCTTTGTCGCCCATGTCAATGGAGAGTAGCTGATCGATCTCTACTGGCGTCTTGGTGTTCATTCTGAACCTTGTCACGAACGCCTCCTCTAATTGCGCCCAAGAGGCTATGCTGCATTCTGGTAGCCTTTCGAACCAGGTTAAACCTAGGTCGCCAAGGCTGGATGGGAATAGGATGCAGATCAAAGCCTCATTCCGCCGGTATACTGCCATGACCTGGCGAAAGTGGCTTAGGTGCATGTAAAGGTCTGTCTTCCCCTAGTAAGTAATAAATTTAGGTTGGATGAAGCCTAAAGGTAAGGGTGCGCTCTCAATCGTCGGAACGAATGACGAGCTATGTAGCCTTGTCAATGCTTTATCTGTTGGTTCGTAGGCAAGGTGCGGTATTGGCATTCCTACCTTGACACTTCCATGCGTCCGAGGAGCCAGCCGCTGAAGGGCTGAGACTCTGTGCGGGTCGCGTGCCTTGGCATTCTCCTTCTGTCGTGCCCTTTCTTCAAGCACAGTCCGTAAGTCGGACGATCTAGACAACTCCGTTTGCCTGGATGATGTCTAGTACGTATGTGAGGGCCGATAGGTGCTTCCCTTAGTGTAAGACCTCAATGATCTCATTCTCTTAGACCTGGAGTAACGAGTTCTGGAAGTCCTTGATTGAGTGTAGCCTATTCTAAGGCTCCTACTCTCTGCTTGCGATGGCGTGGTATGCCTACTACGATCTTCTAAGTGGCGAGGGGGCGTATTGCTTTTGTGCCCCTCTCCTATCGCCACCCCCTTCCCTTTTATCTGGCGCTTCATCAATTCCATGTTCGCCGCCATCTTCCTAATTAACTCGTCTTGCTCCTTTACCCAATCCTCCAAAACTTGAGGGTCGATCCTCCGCCTCTGCCTATCAGGACTTGATGAGCGACGGGGGCTGTTACCCCGCCTCCCCTTTGCATCCCTCAGGGGGGTTCTGTCGCTGGGGCTCTAAATCTGCCATGGGAGGGATGGAAGGCAAACCTTCGCGCCTCCCACCTCCCTCTGGGGTTTGTCCGTCAATGGCGGATTGCGGCAAATCTTCATTGTGTGCCATTGCGTCTAATCTCGCGAGGAAAACTTTGATCAAGAGGTTTTGTTCTTTCTGCGATTCCCACAGACGGCACCAATTGTACGAGCAAGAAATAATCTTCTCATATAATCCTGTTGATCAAGTCCGCGCTCCTCTAAACGTCGTCGCTTTACTCCCTGAAAACACAAACGTGAGCTAGTCGGCGGGTGTGTGCCGAATACCTCTCCGATGCTTAAGTCAGCAAATAGACAAAAAGACAAAAGTTCTATGTATTCAGGAATCAAAATTGTGTTACCTCTCCATAGGTGATGTTATGAGCTTTTATAGGTTCTGTGTGGCACAATCCTAGTAGGACTCTTATTTCTCCATGCAGAGTCCTCTAAGGAATTACTCTCCTGAAAGATAATGCTTATCCTTCAACACCCCCCTCACTACTTAAATCAAGTGAGATGGTCCTAGCTTTGTGGTATGTCCAAACGACCTAGCTAGTATTGTCATGGCACAATGACAATGTAACCAAGCTAACAATACTCATGTTACATTTATCCCGGCACTTTATGTGTAACATGTACTTCGGCTTCGCTTGTAGACCGTGCTAACCATAGCGTACTTGGATTGAGCTACCCAACAGCAAGGTCCTGAGTAACAGCCAAAAATACATCGGCTCAAGATGGTTTGACCGAGCTAACTGTCACCACGCTGACCGTAGTGACCGAGCTAACCACCAAGCTCTTTCGGACCGGGCTATTTGCAAGGCTCCTCTGAACCGGACTAATTACAAGGCCCTTTTACTCCGCCCTTCTTACTGTGGCCCACAGAATGGCCCATTACCCAACTCGGCCCAATTTACATATAAATTACCCTCTCAATATGTAATGAGAATTTGAATTTCACATTAATTTTTTTGTACACATAACATTACTAGTATTACTGATATGATATGAACATTCATCAACTGAGTTGTTGGATTGCCAAAAATGACAATTAGGCTTTGTTTGGCATGTAAGGTTTAGGTTAAAATAATCACAAAAAAAAGACAAAATAAGTTTTTTTAACTTAATAAGACAAAATATCACATCCAAATCATAATTATTTCATTTTTTCTCTCACAAAAGTAAAAAAAAAATAAAAATAAAATTATCCCAAACAAAATTTTTTAATTTCAAATTAAAATAATCAAAAAATTAAAAATTTAAAAAATTAACCCACATTCTAAATGAATGCTTAGTGAATTTAGAGTGGTTCAAGTCAATAGTCTTTTACCATATGAAAAAAAGAAAAAAATGAAGGGTGTCTAGTCTTTTATGCTATGGCCCATATGAGTTCACTCAAAACGTACAAACAAACCATCCAAAGCTTTCCACATCTTAGTCACAAAATAGCTAAATGTTTATATAAATCTTGGCTTCTGTACCATGTACCTGGTTCTCCACCCACCATGTCCATATGCCATCCAATACTTTTCATCATCTGGGTTCTCTCATTATTGATCAGTTTTATTCTTTCTTCTTCATCTTCTTCATGGTGCCCACCTCACTTTTCTCTCCAAACCGATCGCCAATTCGAACAAAAAAGCGATAGGTTTTGGGAGTTTGAAGAGCAATCCAACAGTTGGGTTGAAGTGGAATTGCCTTATGATCTAGTCTCTTGTGTTGATGGCAACTGTACTACAGTTGGTTCGATTGCTCAGATGTCGAAAAAGACCAAAGATCATCGAAACAGAGAAGACTCTGTTCCTGAACAGAGTAGTAGTAGTTTCAGAAAGAAGGATGGTGGTAAAGGAGGTGTAAAAGTAAAAGAGAACTCTGATATGGTTTTGCCACTGAGAAAGAGAATTTCTTTGATTAAAATGTCCGAGGCATCGATTTGGGTGACCGGTGCAAGTGGGTCTATCTATGAGAGGTTTTGGAATGGAGTGCAGTGGGTGATTGCACCTCATGATTTACCAGTATTGGCTGGTCCTGCAAATTCTGTTTTTATGGTTAATCAAACAATTCTTGCTCTATCAGAAGCTGGAAATCTCTATCAGGTTAGTTTATGTGAAAGAATATGGATACAAATTAATACAAAGAGAGACCTTTCAATCAATCATATTATTTTTCCTCTTCATATTATGTTTTTGTAGTTGTTATGACCTTGTATTATGTGTTTTTATTTTATTTTCTTAACAATCCTAGGAGGGGAATAGGGGAAGGGGGCACTGCATCATTCAGTTGTCAGACTTGAACCCGAGCATCACATCTGATAGAGGAGTATCTCATCCACCGGGCCCAACTCTTGGTGTCTTGTATTTTGTTCTTATTGTAGGGACAAAGAGGTGGTGGTGGTGGTGGTGGGGTTGGGATTTGATCTTTTTAGCAAGTTTTTAATTGTCTAGTTGGTACCTATGTCAAATTATGGCACAATCACAGTACTGCTTTCTGTTCTGGTAGATGAAAATGCACTTATAAATAACTAAAATTGGAACTGAAAATCTTCCTCTTCCAGATGCATCTGACTGAAAATTCACAGCCAGTTTGGGTTGATTTCCTGCCAACAGTCGATCACAGCACAAAACAAGAACCAGAACAAAATTCTACATTCCAATTGAAATCCGGAGTTATTTCAGATGATTGGGAGTGAGTAAATTTTCTTCTTCTTCTTCTTTGTATTTTTTTAAAATTTAATTTTTTTTTTCTAGAGTGGGATCATATATTTGTGGGAGACATTAGTCGAATTACCTTATGACAGAAACTTTGTTGAGTTGAATCTCCGCTAACAAGACATTGATTTTGCCGCGTCACCACCAGGAGACTTTATTTCTGCACAAAAAATGGATCACTGTTAGAACTAGTCGGGATTGAGCCTCCAAGGTAAGACTTGCATTAGCACAATAAAACGCCATTGCTGCTAATTTTAGCCCTTAAATTCTGGTTCTGTAGATACAATAAATTTATTTCTTCTTCTTTTTTTTTTTTTTTTTGGAAAGATGAAACTTGGATGTTCACTTGGATGTTTTGTTTTGCAAATTTAAATAGGTGGGTAAATCATGGTCGACCTCCCGGTGCAAATGTTGCAGCAATCGCTGATGCTGCTACTGTTAGACCAGAAGTAATTTTCACCCTAAGGTGTGACCTCTCTCCCTTTTCTAATTTCAAGTACCTCCCAGTTTTATTTATTTATTAGTGTTTAGTCACCCACTCATGGTAAAGCAACATCTCTGCACATGGGATAAGACTTTGTACATTTGATTCTTCCCAAATCCTGCAATGATGGGAAGCTTATGCACTAAAACTGTGATTGTTTAGTGTTTAATCACTCACTGAAGGACATAAATAAATGGGTAAATTACACTTTTAGCCCTTGCAGTTCGACTCAAATTTTACTGTAGTATTATTTCAAATTTGAACAATTTGATCTCTACACTTTGAGTCTAGTTTCAATTTGGTCCTTCTGTTCAAGTTGGAAGGTATTGAGACATGTGTCCGTCTCCTGATGTGTACACGTAGAAACAATTAATGAAATTTGGACCGTATGACCAAAATTGAAATTGAACTTAAAGTGTAGGGACAAAGTGATAGGGACCAAAGTAAAATTTGGATCAAATTATATAGGTGAAAAGTGTAATTTACCCTAAACAAATTTTGAGATGTTATGTTTTGGAATAATACTATAGACAACATGTCCAGTCTCATTTATGAATCAAAGTGCACTTTTGCTCTCTTCAGTTTGCAAGTTTATGGTGACAGCACGATATAAATCCAAGCATGAAACTATTTTGTTGCAGTTCAATTGGGGATCTTTATGAATATGACAGAAGCTCAAAGCCATCATGGAAGAAGCACATATGGAGAGAAGGAACAACAACAGAGGATACTTCTCTCATACCATCAAAAGGGTGTGCTTTACATGGCTTTGGTGGATCTCATTCTGTATCCCTATTTCTTTTGACTAAGGTAATCACCACTTTCCAATCACTTACTAAAAGGGCGACCCAGTTCATGAGACTTTGTTAAAACGGAATCTAGTGAGGGATACGTTAAATATTTATACAAGTCCCCTTAAACCTAAGAAAGTTCTTCATATTATATTTGGTCTTTAAAGGTCATGACCTAGAGCGATGGCAAGTGGTATCTATTTCTAGCGTTGTGCACGGTTTGAGTCATGAAAATCAGTCACTCCAAAAAAAAAAAAAAAAAAAAAAAATTGAAAAGAAGAAAAAAAATAATGGGAAAGATTGTCTACCTATTATCTCTTCTAGACCATGTTGTATCTGCCTTGTAGCTATTACAAGTGCTACATGTTTCTAGCGTCGTGCATGATTTGAGTCACGGGGATCAGTCTCTCCATGAAATAAAAATCAAAAATAAAAATAAAATCAAGGGAAAGACTGTCTATATACTATCTCTTCTAGACCATGTTGTTTTGTTCTTTTCTTTTTCATTTTTTTCATATCTTTGATGTTTGTGTGTTCTCTTGATGAAAAATGGATACTTATGGTGATCATCATATAATATATGCAGGGTGGTAATTTGGTAGAGAGAAGGCTACACCAAAGAAAGTGGAAATGGATAGTCCATGGAAGCCCAGAAAATCATCACTTGTCTTCTATCACATCAGTTTCCCAAGATGAATTCAATGAAAAAACCTCCTCTTTGTTTCTCACAACAGCTTCTGGATCTGTTTTGGAATATAGAGTTCCAAAATATTCAGGTGAATGAAATTACAAAATTATGTAGCAATCAATGGTCCTACTCTTTCTTTATTCGCTGAAAACTTCAGAAGTTGGCTTACTTCAAGACTGTGTTTGGACCTTTAATTTACAGAGGCAAAAGAAAGGGGATGGAGAAAAATGTTACTCCTACTTCATTTCTTTTTCACTTTCCTATGTTTTTCCCGTCACAAATCCCAAGATCATAACACAAAGGGAAAAGTACAGGGATTATCGGTGTAATTTGCATTGTCATTATGAGAAAACGAACTTTGTTTTTTAAATCAAATAATTAAGTTCTAAATGCAAAGTTTTTACATGAAGACAGGTTCAGCTCAAGACAACCAAATTGAAGAGAATTGGGTGAGTCACACTCATCCCCCGCACGCAAAACTCGCAAGGGGTATTTCAGGGATGCAATTTCAAGTCGGAAGAATAATTTTCCCTCTAGATGACGGTAGGCTTGCAGAACTGCATCTTCCGGGCCTTGGTGGTGAAACTGCAGGCCCAAATTATCAGATCAACGTCCGAAGAAAAGCATCACTCAAATACGTATGGTCGATATTAGACTCCCCTGAGACAGAAGGATGGAATGCAGAGTACTGCACTGAAGAACGTGGCCCCACAAATTGCATCATGGGCATAAAAGACGAACCAAGTGACGAAAATGTTGCAAGATCAATGTCAAGAGGTCGAAAGGGCAGCAAAGAACAACAAAACTACTTATCCCTTGGTAGTATTAGTAGTAGCGATCCCCGCCTACATACAGAATTGTATAATATGCCGGCTAATTGGATCAACATGAACTTTCGCCTACGAGTGATGCAAGGAGGGAGATCGTTTTTTCTCATTACAGATAGCGGGTTGACTTTCGAATATCTTAATACTGAAAATGTGTGGATTTGGCTGAGGCACGAACACACGACAGCGATGAAAGGTGCAGTGGGATACTATAATGGAAGTTTGTTTTTGGTTGATGAGCACGGAAGTTTGCTCATTAGAGAAAGAAGTAGCGATGGATTAGCGTGGATTAATTGCACGGCAATGAAGAAAGCAAGGCCGATTCTTGGAGGCCCTCCGTGGGATAAATTGCCCGGAAAAGGTTTGAGAGTTACAGCAGAAGATGCACTGTTCTTTGTGAGCAAAACCGGAAGATTACTGCAGTTTACAGTAAGTTGCAAAACTAAGCTAAGTAATCTCTGTCTCGATTACTTTTAGGCTATGTTTGGATCCCAGATTCATTTAGGGAAAGGGAAATAGAAGTACTTTAACATACTCATCTTTCATGGGTAACTAAACAAAAATGAGTTTTTTTTTTCAGAATACATACACATTTTCTTCCCAATTTCCTAACCCAGCCAAACAAGAGAATAAATTACCTTCTACTTCATTATCTTTTTCCTTTCTTTTACTTTTCTCTTTACAAATCTCTTGACAAATCATAGATCCAAACACAACTGTAGTGCATCTCACACAATAAATGTACAGGCTAGAAGTAAGTGACTTGAAAATTTTTAGGTTGTGTTTGGATCAAAAATTTGAGGAGGGAATTGCAGAGGAAAAATGGAAATAGGAAGGGAAAGGAGAATTAAATAGAAGCTATTTTTTTGTCACGTCTCCCTTTCTATTTCCAAATGCTGAACCCAAATACAGTCTCATAGAAGTTTTGCTCTTAATTTTTGACAGACAACAACAATCTCAAGAATCAAACTTCAAATACTAAATAGAGAAAATTCACAAGAAATTTGGTAGTAAATACATTTCAAGAATTATGCCTCTCTTGCTAAATACGTTTCAATTTGAGAAAATCTACGAAGACTGACAACACCCGTTGTTGTGTAGGTTGCATTGAGAAAGTTCAAATGGAAAGACTGTCGAAACCCTCCAAACACCAAAGTTGCCGGTATAGTGGATCAGGAAATCTTCAGGGAAAACATAGTATTTGTCATAGGAAGGAACGGTAGGCTATATCAGTACAACAAAGTGAGCGAAATATGGCATGAGCACCGCCAATCCCAACACTTGGTTTTATCAAGATTGCCCGGAACTGCCATGAGGCCATCTTCACTATCACTAACCGGTTCTCTTTTCATGCTTTCTGAAGACGGAGGGCTTGTTGAATATCACTGGAACGGATTAGATGGGTGGAATTGGGTGGAACATGGAACACCACATAGAAGTGTGACCTTGGTTGGTTCTCCAGGACCGTGCTTTCAAGGTAATCAATTGTTTTTGATTGGTTCGGATGGTAATGTGTATCTAAGATACTTGGATCAGACAACATGGAAATGGAAAAACTGTGGTTTCCCGTATATGGAAAGTACAGCGGTTGAAGATGAGAGACCGGTTGGAAATGAAGAAACTTGTGTCGATAAAGATTTTGCAACAAGCTTTGAGAAAAATGATGACGACCAAAATACTTTCAACGGAAACTGTGATTCAAAGGTTAGGATCATCAGTCTGTCAGCCTATTAGTGAATTTTAGCATATCTGGTAATGTCAAATCAATTGTGACGGTTTTTGCTGTGGACAGGTGGCACCAATACGACCAATTCCCTTCGCAGAGGATTTAGTGGTTTTTGAGCTAAAAGATGGCAGAGTAAGCAATCGTCATCATCTTTAGTATTTGAAAATATATAGCAATTTAATAACTAATGTGAATATATATATATTGTACGAGCACAAAATAATGTTCTCGTATAATCCTGTTGATCAAGTCTGCGCTTCTCCAAACATCGTCACTTTACTCCCTGAAAACACAAACGTGAGCTAGCCGGCGGGGGTGTTCCGGATACCTCTCCGATGCCTAAGTCAGCAAAATAGACAAGTAGTCAAAAGCTCTGTGTATTGGGGAATCAAAGTTGTGTTACCTCTACATAGGTTCTGTCATGAGCTTTTATAGGTTCCGCATAGCACAATCCTAGTAGGACTCTTATTCCTCCACGTAGAGTCCTCCTAGGAATCATACTCCTGAAAGATAATGCTTATCCTTCAACACCCCTCACTACTTAAACCAAGTGAGATTGTGTATTGGGGAATCAAAGTTGTGTTACCTCTACATAGGTTCTGTCATGAGCTTTTATAGGTTCCGCATAGCACAATCCTAGTAGGACTCTTATTCCTCCATGTAGAGTCCTCCTAGGAATCATACTCCTGAAAGATAATGCTTATCCTTCAACACCCCCTCACTGCTTAAACCAAGTGAGATGGTTTTACCACGGTTGGATGACAGTACGACCGAGCTAACACTAGCCTTTTGTCATACTTAATCCAATGTCTTCACATGCAACTCATAGCTCGGCTCTCCTTTCACTTTGTACCTCGGTTTCGTCCTGCTGAGACCGAGCTAACTATACCAACCTTCGACCGAGCTAACAAGAGCAAGGTCCTCCGCAGGACGCCCAAATACCTCATCTCTGAATAGTATGACCGAGCTAATCATCACTCCGACCGTGGTGACTGTAACCATATTTGGACCGAGCTAACTATAAGGTCCTTTTACTCAGCCCTTTTTACCGCGGCCCAAAGAACGGCTCATTACCGCGCCTTGGCCTAGCTCGGCCCTAATGCACATAAAAACTCCCTCTCATATATGCTGGCTAATAAAATAAAATTAATGAATCTAAACTTTCATTTAATAAATGCATAAAAACTCCCTCTCATAAATGCAACGCTGTGTAGGGAGATTTTCTCTTCACCTATTTTTGTTTGGTTATAATAAAAAACATATAGGAAAAGAAAGGGAGTGGGAAATAAATTAAGAAATAGGACCTTCTAGAACATCAATTCCTTTTTTATCTATGAGAAAAGACCTAAGAAAACTAGGAGGAAAAATTTATCGGGGAGAGAGAGTTTCATTGTTCATGGCTTCTCGCAGGAGACCATGCAAATTATATTAGACATATTTAATATAATTACAAAGTAAGGCAAAGACCTTGCTGATGGACATGACTGAGGCGTGTGTGATGATGGGCAATGAGAGAGAGTTCCTGAGAAATGATTTATTTTCCTTCTTCAATTTCCAATTCAACCAAACATAGCTGTGATTTGGCATCCTTTAATTCTTCCTCCTTTTCCTTTCATTTCCTTTTCCTCTTCCATTTCCTAAATCCTCCAACCAAGCACAACGTAAATGAAATAGGAAACTTCAAACTATTCCATGAAAACAGTATGTACTGTACATGAAAATTTAGGGCAAGTAAATGAGAAGGAAAATGATACATACATATGTATATATATATATCAGCATTATCATCATAATTTCATAAATACCACTGCCACATCATTCTTATTATGAATTCTGTAAATAAAAAAAAATTCTGTAAGCATATCATTTTCTCAAATTAGATACAGAAGTTAAAAAGCTAACCAATCAAGAGAGCTCACTTCTATGTCATAATTACTATCAGAGTTGACAAAATTGTATTGGTTCAACTAGATTATAACATTTATTATTATCACCTTAGAACCTGTACCAGATATAACTACCCCTTCTTGATTCAAAAATATTATATGTAATGACAGTATGAATCTGAAAAGGTTTGCAGAAATGTAATAAATATATATTATCTTCTACTTCATATATATATATATATATGTGACTAACTTGGATGATTATTGTTACATACGTGATGACAACAGTTGGCAGAAATGCAAAGAATGGAGAAAAAGGGTTGGTTATGGACGCGGACGATGGGAACTCCAGCAAGCTTATGCTTAGCAAATTTTTGGACTGGTTTGGCATCTTGAATTGAAGGACGATGGGAACTCCAGCAAGCTTATGCTTAGCAAATTTTTGGACTGGTTTGGCATCTTGAATTGAATTCAACAAACTAACACAGCACCACACAAAGCTAGAAGCTGATAATGATGGGTGATATAAACATAGATATATAGGATAGATAGATGTACAGTTTATGATGAAAATAGCTACTTTTAAGCAAGCAAACGAGCCATTATTAGCTTCATGGCTCTTGTACAGTTCAGTTATTGTAAAAAGTTACAAATATGTTAACTATACATACACATGTATACATAAAAAAGAGGAAATACCCTTTTGTGAAATTTTTGTGTGAAGAAACACACACACACAACAACAATAACTAACTATGTTTGGATCATAAATTTATGGAGGGACATGTGCAAAGAAAAGGAAAGGGAAAATATACAAAGAAGTTGAAGTGAAAATAAATAAATAAGCCAAATTTATTTATTTTGTTTCCCTTTAATTTTATTTTCTGCTGATGAATCCAAAATACAAAGATGCATTAGCTATCACATACAACTGTTGCATACAATTCTAACTTTCTAGATGCTAATACATTTATGTCTACATTTTCCACTAATTTTGATAGTTATTCCTCACATTCAGATTAAGATAAACTCTCTCTCTTTTTTTTCTTTTTTCTTTTTTCTTTTTCTTTATCTCTTCTGTTGAGTCAAGAAGATACTTCGACTTCTTTTTCTTTATATCTTCTGTTGAGTCAAGAAGATACTTCGACCGTAATGTTAATATGAAGCTTGGAGGAACTTGATGAGCATTTGCATAACTAATACAAATCGAGTAGGCTTGATGTATTCAAGGAATTGGACCTACGAAATAGCAAAATAGTATTATGTGCTCAGACCCACTTTGCTAGAAATTATTCAATAAACGAAACTCACTATTCTAAGCCAATTTTTGCCAAATTCCATCGTTTAGTCTGTTCTATTTTTTTATACAGTTTGCTTTGGAAAGATTTTATTACCCTGCAACCCAAGCAATGGAATGAAGAACATTCAGGCTTGGAATTAGATTCTCATTTCACCTCACTTCCTACCATCAAAACATCGGATTGAAAATGAATAAATTTGATGCTAATGATTTAATAAGTATAGCCTTTTAAATCCCATGTAATATTTGAGATTCAGATATGAAAAATGGATTTGAGAGTTTTGTAATAACTTTGTAAAAATAAATAATTAAAATCTTCTTATAAAAGGTTCTATTTGTACAAAAATCTTAACAAAATACATGAATCCACTTTGTAGTAAGTTAAAAATTATTTTTTTTTAATTTTTTTTATGTGTAAAAAATATGAGAAGTGACGTAATCTACAATAAATTAAAAGATAAAAACTAAGGTAGTATTTGGTAGAGTTTAAGAATTATGATTTGATAATAGAGTTGTAATTTGCTAGCATTTGGTAGAATTTTAGAATTATGATTTGAGAATAGAGTTGTATTTTGAGTTTATGAGTTTTGGAATTATGATTTTAATGTAAAAAATTTATTTGGTTATAAGTTTTGAAAAAAGTTTTAAGTTGAGTTTGAAATGAATGATGCAACATATGATATTTGATTAAAAAACTTACAACTCATAACCAAACACACAACCCAAAATTCTATTCAAAACTCATAAAAAAAATCGAACACTGTTCCGGTCAACCGACCAAACGTTCGGGAGATGACCGAGTAGTCGTGTTTTGAAAAGTGAGTATGGAATTAATTTTTAAAAGCGCTATCCAAACACGACACTCAAAGCAAGGGGTAGAACTACGATTCTAGAGTTCTACCAAACAGAATTGAGTTTGTGAGTTTTGGAATTATGATTTGAAAAAAGAAAATTTGTTTGGTTATGATTTTTGAATTGAGTTTTGAATTTTTGATATAACATATGAAATGAAAAAAGTTATTTGGTTATGAGTTTTAAAAAAATTTCAAAACTTATAACTTATAATCAAGCACACAATTCAAAACTCTATTGAAAATTTTATTTTAAAATTCATTTCAAAAAAATAATTTGTCATTTTGGTTTAAAAAAATAATTTCTATATTTAAAAAAATCAAATTTTTCTCTCTGTTTTTTTTTTCAAATAACAGGTAGTTATTGGCAATTGTAAAAGAAAAAAATTATACCATTCCGATCAATTGACAGGACGATCGAATAGACCAAAAATTCAAAAACGATTCCACTATATGGCTCAAAACCTTGCCTCCCCGAATGGCCCAAATGTGTTGCATCCCATTCTTTTACTTTTGACTTAGTTGCCTCAAGCATGCGTGAAACTCACACGTTTTCAAAATAAAGAAAGAGAAGAGAAAAGAGAGAGAGACAGAGAGACAAAGGGGGGACCATCATCTTTGTTTGCTCAAAATCCACCATTAATCCCAACCTTAAAAGCAACTCTTTTCATCTTCCATTGTTCTTTCACCAACATAATTTTTTCAACCCATCACATAAAGAGAGAAAGAGAAAGAGATATCATATAAACCCAAAATGGAGAGAATCAATATTCAATTTTGATCAGTCTTTGTTTTCACTCTCACTATGAAAGTTTTGTATACCCATCAAGCTTTGTTCTTTCTGCTATGAATCTAAAATAAAAAAAATCACACCCAGTCTTTATCTTCACATATAGTTGTATATCCATCAAGCTTTGTTCTTTGTGCTATGAATCTAAAAAAAAAATCATATATTTTATTTTTTTTATCCTTCGAATTCAAATCCAAACCCAAGACCCATTTGTTTTCTTCTCCTCTTTTGCACTTATCATTCATACACATAAATAGCTATATGTATAGATATAGAGCGAGAAGATGAGAGGCAAATTTGCAGGGGAAAATTATTATACAAATCCAAATGTATTTGCAAATCTTCACCAAACCTAGAAATTCCAACAACCACTGCATTCTCACACCACTTCCTCCACCGCTGCCATAAAAGAACCCAGCAGAGACGGAAGGGATGAGGGCTTTAGCGGCTTCGACATCGGAGAGGAAGCTACCATTTTGTGGACTTTGACGGCTCTGGCGTTGATTTAATAAATACAAAGCTATTTGAGAGAGAGAGAGAGAGAGAAAGAGAGAGAGTTTTGAGGCAGTGGCTATGTTTGAGAGGAGATCGATTTTATGAATTCGAGTCTAATAAAGAGAGATGAAAATAGAGAGAAGGGACAAAATGGAAAGATAGGGTGCCAACACATTCGGGCCATTCGAAAGTTACAATTTCGAGTTACAAATCATTTTTCATTCAAAAAATGTCTACTTACCAAACATATTTTCTAAATATATTTTGAAAATAATTTGAAATTGTAATTTAAAAATTTTTACAAACACATAAGTTTAAAATGTAAGGATAGAATTAATTTTGAAAAGTCTTACCGCCTAACTTTTTATTAACTTTCGAAATTGACCCTTAAGAGGTTCTTAATAACGTGTGGGAGATACTAAATTTTTTACCAAACAAATGACCAAATGTCTCACATGAGTGTGGGGTTCACAATTTTATGGACTCCACATCTATGTGAAATATTTGATCATTTATTTAGTAAAAAATTTGAGACAATTTTCCTAACGTGTGAAATGGTGCGTTGTCACTATACAAAAAGTATTATGAGATGGCAGAATTTGATTGGATCATCACACCGTAATACATAATTTGATTGGATGGTTAAATCGAATCCCCCAAAATCCGATGCTATAAATTCACTCGCAGCCAACCCATTCAATGTTTTTCTCTCTCTCTAACATACACACACACATCGGCATTGCATTGCGTTGCGAATCCGGAAATCTAGGTTGGTGGTGATTGGATCGAGTATGTCGAAATCGTTGCCGTACTCGATGAAAGATGTTCGCTATGATAACGCCAAGTTTCGCCAACGATCGTGTTTCAAGGTTTGCAATGACACCACCACCTAGATCTCGAACCCTCTCTGTTTCTGTATGATCGGTGTTTGATTTATTGTGTGAATTTCGATCACATGTGGATTGTGTTAATGGTTTTTTACCTGGAAATGTGATGTAGGTGCTATTGATTTGTATAATTTGAGTGATTCATATGATTGACAATTTTTTATAGCCATTAATCACACTATACCATGTTTGATGGCTGAGCTTGTATTAATTTTACACAAAATTTTAAAAAATTAAAAAATTCATTTTTGATTGGGTAATGTTGTACAACTTTCCCTATATTAGGTTTTTTATTTTTTATGTTTTATTGTTGCTCCACTCATGAACTACTTACTCTGTTTGTGCCGCCGTGCCGGTGTGGTATAGGTTTTAACCATATTGTTTTGGTTGTTCTTGATCTGTGGAAAGATACAAGTAAGGTGTAAATTAGCCGTTACGAAAAGAACAAAAACAAAAAACCTTGATATCAAATGGCTGTTTTTATAAATTAGCCCTTTTTGGACTACCTTTCTAATTGTAGGATTGGTTAGTAAGATGTTTAAAAGATTCACTATTTGACTAGGAATGCATGTTGCACATCACTATTAGGTTTTAGCATTGATTGGATTATTTAGAACTAGTTTGGAAATTGGCTATTTTAGTGGTATTTTGGCTTTTTACGAAAAAACATATAGAAAAAGTAGAGAGAATGATTTGACAATTTTTTGGCTGAAAACCAATGTTCCTAAACCAGGCCTTAGTATAACACTAAATTGTTGCACTCGTCTCTCATGGGCTCGTGTAACTTGCACTTGCACTTGCACATCATTTTGAAAGATGATATGACATATTGCTTCTTGAACATGAAATAACAAATTACCTTTATTGAATATTGTAGCAATACTTTATTTTGGGTCTTTAATGTTGTGCAAGGATGTTTTAGTATTTGTCGCTCAAGATTTGTTTACCATATCAAATTCTTGTATGTATTGCAGAAGGAACTATAGCTTCTTGTTAATTGAATGTCATTCCGTTGGTGTGCTTTCTTAACCTAGTTTATTTGTGCAGCTTCTGAAATCCATTGAGTTTTTGTATAACATAATGTTAGAAACATCTCATATTGTTTCAAAGTGTATAATAAGAAATGAATAACCTTATCCTACTAGTGTTTCTTCTGTTTTAAACCTCTCCCCTAGGAAGACTCTCTTTAAATCTTTAATTTTTACGTGCTATAGCTGATGTCTATGCTGATATTGTACAGATTTTGCTTTGAATTGTTTCTCAGTAATTGTGTCCTGTTTCCGCAGATGATTACTCAGACTTTACTCACCAGTAATGTGAAGCGTGATTGTGTAAGATGTAGTACGGGGAAGTTTTTATTGTTACTAATGATTGGTGGTTTGGCATATCTTATGTTCACTCATGCAAGTCCAATCAATTCTGTTACTAGTCTAGCAAAAGAAGGCAATCTCAGCACGAATGGTAGTAACAAATTTGGTAGATTTTGGAGAAAACCACCAAGGCTTCCTCCTAGATTAACACCTGATCAAATAAGTAGTAACAATATTTCTATTCATGAGCCTGAGAAGCTAAATGCAGCATCTAAATGGAGAGCTAGGCAACAAAGTGTTAAGAACGCATTTATCCATGCATGGTCTGGCTATAAAAAGTATGCAATGGGTTATGATGAACTTATGCCACTGAGCCAGAGGGGAGTCGATAGTTTAGGAGGTTTAGGTGCTACTGTTGTGGATGCTCTGGATACAGCCATGATAATGGGAATTGATGAAGTAGTTTCTGAAGCAGGTTCGTGGATTGAAAAGAACCTTCCAGAGAGGATTAGTCAGAAAGGCCAAGTTAATTTATTTGAAACCACCATACGCGTTCTAGGTGGCCTTTTGAGTGCTTATCATTTAAGCGGGGCAGAACAAGGGAAGAACCTGATACACAAGGGGCCTAAGCCAATTGTCTATCTAGAAAATGCTAGAAACTTGGCTGATCATCTGCTAATTGCGTTTAATTCTAGTCCAACTGTTATTCCCTTTAGTGACGTTGTTCTACATGATCGCACAGCCCATCCTGCTCCTGATGGAATGAGTAGCACTTCTGAAGTTTCCACTTTACAACTTGAGTTCAATTATCTCAGCTCTCTAACTGGTGATCCAAAATATAGTATTGAATCCATGAAGGTTTTGGAACATTTGAAGACTCTCCCAAAGGTCGAAGGACTGGTTCCTATTTACATAAGGTATGGGCATTACATACAAAAGTTTCATGATAAATAATGCCACAGTTTTCAATAATAACTTCCTCTGTTTCATCCTTCCTTTTATTGAACTGCCGGACAATTGACTTGATATTGATGGCCTTTTTTCCCTTTCACTGGCCACAGCATCCAATATCATTGGTGGGTGGTTATTATCGGCCCTTATCGTTCACTGATAGTGTTTTTATGAGCTCAAAAGAAAATGTAAATAAAAAACAATTCTTTAGAAAACAAAATAGCATTTGGGGCTTCATTAAATCACTAGATAAGTTGGAACAAATTACACAGACTTGAGCACACGGCAAGATTTAATATTCCAAGAGTAAATTTGTTTATCTCACATTTGATTGCTGATATTTGAAATTTATGATTTATTCTCACTCTCAAGTTCATGAGCTTGAGCGCTTGTCTGCTTCTTGATTTTTCTTTTTTAGGGTTTAGGGAGGAGTAAGTAAGTGATCCACTTACTCTTCTTCTTCCTTCCTACACATGCAACAACAATTGGAAAGTATTTTTCCCATTCTACCCAAATTGTCAATTGTGAGAATAGAGTCTAGAGCTGCTGTCCAAATGAAAAAATCCATCATAGATGGCACCCCAAACTTCCAAATATTCTTCCAAGGAAAAGAAATGTCTATACCACTAGATCCACCTCTAAGTACATCACAGAAGGTCTAAACAGAAAAATCCCATTGTTACCCATCCAAACCTTCCTGTCCTCCACTTTGTGTGCCACCTTCACACAATTCAAAGAGGCAAAAAATTCATCCACCATTTATCCTGCACTGCCCAGATGGAAAGGGGCTCCAAGAAATGCATTATTAAAGTGTTTATTTATAATATATAGGTGTATGATACAATGTTTTATTTCTTTTAAAATGAACCTTTGATTTATTGTCGTTTAATTAGATTTGTTGGTCACTTTGGGATAACCATGGATACTCACTGGTGTTTTTTTCTTCTCGTAACTGCAGCCCACAGACTGGTGAATTTAATGGGGAAAACATTAGACTGGGATCTCGTGGTGACAGCTACTATGAGTACCTTGTTAAAGTATGGCTTCAGCAGCGAGATAGTAAACTGACATATTTACATGACATGTATGAAGAAGCAATGAAGGGTGTTAGGCACCTTCTTGTGCGAAAATCTGTCCCAAATGGATTGGTTTTTGTAGGGGAACTGCCTTATGGACCTAATGGTGCATTTAGTCCCAAAATGGATCATCTGGTATGTGGTTCTTGACTTGTTAGTAGTTCTCAATTAAATACCATTTCACACCATGGCTCACTGATACTAACTGTCAGAAGTTATAAAGTAGTTGACTAGTTGGAGTATAATTGTTTGTTTCACTTCTTCCAATGAAATATAATTGGGTTCTCTTTTCTATTCATGCAGAAGTATGTTGACCTCTTGGTCAACATATGGTTCACATAAAGGAATTTTTTGCCAGGTTGTAAGGATAAGAGGCTAAAAGGCTTTTGGCTGCTTCATGTAATTCAGTTCCCTTAATATGAGGATCGTTAGAGGAGATTTATTCTTTTTCTCATCTGCAATTTTTTATATGCTGTCAGCATCTGGGTCATGTTTGATGAATGCAATCATGTGCTCACTAGACAAGGAACAACATTTCATTTTGTGCTCATTAGACGCTTTCCGTATATTAGTTCTATTACTATTAGTTGTGTTTCTTTGTTATGTTGTATGGTTTGTCCTCAAAACGCTCTAGAAATATGATAATCTGATATACACTTAATTTTACCTGATAACAATAGTTTGTTTTCAGGGGTGACCATTGGTTCAATAGTTAAGACTTGGCCTAATAACCCTGAGGTTATGGGATCAAGTCTTGGGGCCACCACTTTGTGCATTATGCCAAAGGTTAGGTGCGTACTCAATCTTTTCCCTTCCACACATACATTAATGTGTACTAATTGGGCGTTGTTTTTTTTTTTCTTTTAACAATAGTTTGTTTTCAAGGGACCATTTCATTTTTTTTCTGTTTTCCGAAATCATGAGATAAACAGTTCCATTTGTCCACCCTTCAGATCTGCTTAGAATTTAGAAATATACACTGCAGAGGTTAAACACTATTTGAACCCTATGCATATTTGTGATTTTTTGATTATATATATAGCATATGTAATCCTAAATGTATTTGTACAAGATATAAGCAGCAGTGGTTTATATTATTGTGCTGTAAGTAAAAGCGATCAATTCATTGGATTGGATCTTAATAAGCTCATTATTGCACTCTTAATATCCTTTATTGTTTATTGAGTATCGTGTCATGACATAGAAGTATTTAACTTCCCTGTTCAGGTTTGTTTTCTTTCTGGTACTCTGGCCATTGGTGCCACCAAAGGCATGACAAAGGAAAAAGCTATGAATGCCAATTTGCTCACCTTTGAAGACCTGGAAAATCTGAAGCTTGCAGAAAGTCTTGCTGAGACGTGCTTTGAGATGTATTCAGTAACTTCTACCGGTCTTGCTCCAGAAATTGCTTACTTCAATACGGAGGTCGGTCAGTTTTATTTTATTTTAAAATCAGGTTTAACCAAACAGCGATCATGCATCTATTAAGTGAGCCATGAAATTAAAAAAGCTACAAACACAGTTTTTTCTACTGAAAAGTGCACAGAATGCAGTGCTGCTAGTACTGCATTCTGTGCAGTTTTTTAGAAAACATTATGCTCCTGTACTTACCGTTAAATTATTTATTTACCCCTATTGCAAATCTGTTACTTTTTTTTTTGTCAATTCTTGTCAGTCATGCTTGTGAAAAGAGATTTCATATCAGGTTGTGCTCTAAGCAGGGACATTCTGAAGAAGGTCCAGATGGTGGGAACAAGAGCTCCAAATATGTGCATGACATAATTATCAAACATGCTGATCGTCACAATCTTTTGCGTCCTGAAACTGTTGAATCGTTGTTCGTCTTGTATCGCATAACTGGAGATCTGAAGTACGTCCTGTGGATTTAGCTGTATTATTTTTTCCTATATTATAAATTTATGTTTCATTCACTGCTTAATCTTTTAGGTTGTGCAAGTTATTTAGACAATCTATCATGTATTTTTGCAGATACCGTGAATGGGGTTGGGAGATCTTTAAGGCATTTGAGAAATACACAAAGGTCAAAACTGGAGGTTACACATCTCTAGATGATGTAACTGTTCTTCCTCCTCGAAGAAGAGACAAGATGGAGACCTTTTTCTTGGGTGAAACACTGAAATATCTGTACTTGCTGTTTGGGGACAACAATGTCATTGCTTTGGATGAGTTTGTTTTTAATTCTGAGGCTCATCCTTTTCCTATCAAAGGAACTACCAAAGAGCAATGATACTTTGACTACAGCCAAAGCATTTATACAGGTTAAAGCATAATGTTGCACTCGCTTAATAGATTTTGTGGGCACAGATTAAAAAATGAGTGAAAATTTTACAGAGTTCTACTGTTGCATCTGGAAGCCATGATAGCCTGGCGATGATATTGACAAGTATTAGCAGTGGCTCAACTTGGTTGTTTTCTTGTACTGTGAATTGATGGTTTATCTGCATCCCTCTGTCACATTGGAAAACCAGAGGGAAAAATGCTTTGGAATTCTCTATCTGTATGCTGCCACCAGTTGATGACAATTTTGCAAAATGTGTTTTTATCAGTAGATGTGGAGTGATGTACTTAGAATTTTTATTTTTATTTTCTTTCATCTGTAATGAGTCAAAGGCAACCAACCATATGTAACTGTTTTTTCCAGTTTTATAGTTTTCCAGTATTGTTAATCGCTTTGGAGAGACAATTGGATTGATTGATGTAGCCTACTTTTTGTTAGAATTTCTCATTGTGCAATTGCCTTGAAGCTATAAGCAAAAAGCACGAGTACATTGTGGCTTTTCAATGATTATTAGGTCACATTGCGATCTCTACTTTCACGTTCCTTTTGAAAGGAAAAACAGATGGTCTCCATCTCAGACGACACTTAAGTCATCTATTTCTGCGTTCTCTGCATTAACGACTTTTGTAAGATAATATCCTCCAAATTTTTCACCTGCAATACCACAAGGTGCAGGATAACAAACAGATAACGCACTAATAAACCAAAGTATGTCTGTTTAGTATAACAGCACTGCCAATTAGGATTCAATGTCTTAAATTTTTCTACTATGTTCTGTTTTTTATATATTTATTTGAATTTATCAACTAATAAATGATTGTATTCAATGTTTTAATTTTTTTCTACTATGTTCAGTTTTTTATATATTTATTTGAATGTATCAACTAATAAATGATTATTCTGAAATTTCAGGTTCATTGTCAAAGTAGTCTTTGAGGTCAAACAAACCTTACCGTAAATTCTGAATAGCTCTTCTAGGGAATCGGGTAGGATGATTCGCTTCACAAATTGCTTTTGTGACTTATTGTTCTCTTGGAACTTCATGTGAATGGTGACTCTCTTAGTCATTAATATCACTGTCAGTCGAACTGCTAGAATGGCCTGAGCTGATGATTGTGGGTACCTGTCTAAACTGAGAGTTGGAAATATTGGGCCCACTGATTCTTGTGGGTTTGAACTGACCTTTCCCGGTGTAGTGATCTTTTCTGAGCCAACAAAATCTTTTTTTTGTTCATCTAATACCCATCTATTTTCATAACTTGCTAAAAGGTCATATTTGCTTTTGTTTCCTTGCTGTTCAGCTGGAGCTTTCAGGGTCCACCCTCTGGCATCTGGTTTATTTACATTTGATCCTCTTTCCAGCAGAATTCTAAACTATTTCAAGATGCCCGTTATGAACAGCAACCTGAAGAGCTGTTTGGTCACTGTTATCTGTTAAATTTACATTCATTCCTTGTCCAGTAAGATTATGCACTTCTCCTGTTTCATTCTTCCCTGCAATCTCTGAATTATGGAAGTCGATAGCCCTCATATCTTGTACGAACTGATCTCCATGTGAATGCTGTTGGCTTACTGATGGATTATCACATATGACATTAGAAAAGTTCTCTTTCCAGTCCCCCATCAAGCCACTCACCGATGTTCAAATCCAGATCTCTCTGTTGATTCCCGAAACCAAAGCTTTTGAGCCCGTTCAGTTTCTGTAAGTGAGAAGTATAGAAATCAAACCTTCTTGCTATGTGTTTTGGTGGGAACCAATAAATTTTTTCTCTCATTTTATTTTCAAGTTAATCTTGTTTATACCTTGAAAAGAATGTTCATTATGATGTGCCCATCTTCTGTATTTGCTTGAATAATGTTCATCAGTATAGAACTGTCAAGCCCTAGTATTTGAGAAATCTCAGTGGTTCGAACTGTGAATGGCTGTGGCATATGACATAGAACCCCTATTTCTCCAGACACGTCCCCTGCAACCGCCTTTCCTATAGCCTGTATAGTGCACGAGGGAAAGTCTAGTTAGGTTAGTTAGGTTCTCTGTTCTAAAAATAGTGAATCTGTTACTGTTGAAAATTACATACTTGGCCATGCCCATCAATATGTGCAATCAAATCCTGCCACCACAAATCGTTCCTGATCTAGAGTTGTTAGAGTTAAGGATTATTGAGGATTTACAAGTACAATGTTGTAATTAAATGAATATTAAGCTCACTCACCACTGCTCCTGAGACCAGTATGTACAGATCTGTTGGAGCTTCGTTCTGTAAGATCACATCTTCCTTTGGTGGATAGTATTCTGCTTCCATTTGAGGAACCTTTTCCAAAAAATGTGTTGGTAAGTATCTTATAAAAATTATGTACAACCTTTTTTTTTCTTCTTTTTTCCTTGAAAATTAGGTATTCATAACATGCAAACGTTAAAAAGGAGATACAAGAGGGAAAAAGATGAATACCAATTGGAAAAGGAAATCATGAGAAATGCCCTGGAAAAGATGGACATTTTTAACGATAGGGAAGAACAGATAGTGTGCAATACTCAAACGAATAGCTTTTGGCAGACCATTCAATGTGTCTTGATGTTTCAATCCTTCTGTTCTGAACTTGAAACATGTGAGACAAAATTTTGTTTTGCACGTGTGAGGGCAATTGATTTCGTCTAGTGAATTCTTTAGCAGCTTTGATTGTTTCCCTCTACAGCACCAAAGAAAGTTAAGTTCTTTAGCAACTGGACAGACAAGTTTGAGAAAACATACTATGAAGACGGGAAAAGGATTCAAATATTAAAACCTAGCCGGTAAACTACGATGCTTAAAGTAACTTCTTTAAAATGAATGCTTACTTTAATAGTTACAATAATGCATCTTGCACTTGCATATCTTGTTTTTGTCTTTTAATGGCTTCTTACTAAAAGGCATGGACACTTCGAAGATGGTGGCGTGTATGTGTTGCATCTATGTCGAACACGACACTCGTAGGATACTTCCAAGCACTTCTCAAACACTCATCTGAACATGTACTTATTTTATAATTTTTTTAGATCTGGACATTAGGAGATACACATGTCCATCATGTAGACATCCATGAAACTTATTATAAGCTTGAACAAAAGAACTTGGGATACAATCATAAGAGAAAAATAATGTAAATTTATAGCAATTAGCATTATGTTGTATTTTCTATTATGCTTAAATGATATATTCATATATATGACATATGTTACATGGTCTCTTCAATATGAATAAAATATTCATATTGGACACCCAATACTTGGACAAAGATGTGAGAAACGTGTCTGATATTTTCCATCGGACACTTCTTATATATTTATATTTAACACTTTCATTATGGGTATATATATTATTGTATAATTGTTATAAAATGAGTAAAATTCCTTTGTGACTGATCAGAATATAATATAAATAAAGTTGGCATTCTCTCTAATAGTTTAAGCTTTTAGATAAATTGGTGGTCAACAATTTAATATGACATCAGAACAGATAATAGATCCTATCTATGTTCTATCCTCACCGCCTACCGTACAATTAAAAATGCTTGCATGTGTTTGGCCCTCTATGAAGAAAAGCTTAGCCACACATGAAGGGGCGTGTTGAGAATATAATATCAATAATAAGTTGTCCCTCTCTCCAACAGCTTAAGTTTTTACATATTGCATATAACATAATTTTGTCATATATAATAGATTAAAAATGTAAAAATATGATCCTTTTTTGCCAAGTCTTCATACCCTTAAATTTGAGGTTTGATGTATCCAACCTATAAATCTACTTCCATTCTTGATATCCGTACCCTTACTTGTACCTGAGTCTATATAACATAAATGACATAATAAATATATTATATTATATATTTTTTGCGTGTCCTTTGTGTGTCGTGTCATGTCATGTATTTTTTGACAATTCCGGTGCTATGATTTGTCAACAGGAGGCTGAGCGATTGAAATGGCACAGTTGAACAGATATTGAAACCAAACCAGGTTGATATGTACCTGCAAGAGAAAAAGATCATACAAAGAGAGGTCAGTGATTTCTCAGGGAAAAAAGAAGAAGAAGAAAGTCTATTAGATTCTACCGGTTTCTGCTTAAATGCTGCTTTTATAAACCTGATTGCAATTCTTTAGGATTGTCAACAAGAATATAAGTTTGGGTGTCAAGATATGCTACGAAGAAGGTGAGAATGATATCGGTGGCAAAGAAGCCATTGACAATGTAGTTGATTATGAAAAGCACATCTTGCTTGTAGCCCAGAAATGCAAACTCAAACGGGCTGATCCAGGCTGAGAAAAAAACAAAAATGATCAAGAACATTTCCCAAGCCCTGAAATGAAGAACATTGAATGAGAAACAGCAGTTCTTGATCGAAAAGGTGCGTGTTTAAGCAGAGTCAAGAGGTCATCAACTATACCGGGGACTGAATGGGAAGATTATTTATGTTCGAAGTTTGGTTGCCTGGTTGATACTGGCTCCAAGACTCGGGATGAGGACATCACTAGAGAAGAAGCCATTAGGGCAACCAATACCCTTTTGAAATCCATCCTCACTGAAGAGTTGTAGGAAGTGTGTGGGTAATTTTTTGACCATACTGCCCGCCTAGTAATCAGCTGGAGAGCACTGGCAGAATAGATGGCTTCAGCAAACCTGTAACAGAAAGAAAAGGCTCCGGCGGTGGCTCTTCCACTCGGGGGGCACTCCGACGATCAAGTCAGTATATCTCTCAAAGATAATCAAGTGCTAAACTCACAAGCTTAAGCATAAAACTGCGTACCTTAGACCCACGGGGGTGCCTCTCTTTTATAGTTTACTCAATCCAAGTCCCACTAGAAGCCTAACTTCTACGGACTCCAATTCAATGTCAACTTTGGACTCTTCAAGAGATAAAGATAAACTCCCTAAGAGTTTTATCCTTATCTTAGCAAAGTCTTCTCTTTTACCTAGGACTCTTGCCCCTTATCCATTTATCCACCTATCTCGGATCCCGATATCTTCGGAGATCACCTCGGCCTCGCCAAAGATAACCTCGGCATAACTACCACGACACGTGGCACCTCGGCTGACACGTCGGCGTCACCATGCCATGTTTTTGTCTTTTAATGGCTTCTTACTAAAAGGCATGGACACTTCGAAGATGGTGGCGTGTATGTGTTGCATCTATGTCGAACACGACACTCGTAGGATACTTCCAAGCACTTCTCAAACACTCATCTGAACATGTACTTATATTTTAGGCCGACATGCCTTCATCAAAGAACAAGAACTCAAACGAACTCCTCCACGCGCATGAGCTGTCATGCACCTTTTCTCAACCGTTCCCCTCACGTGCTTTATCCTCATTGGCCCGTGTCTGTGACGCGCCTGAAAGTTGTATTTCACCCATCTGCGCCGTCTGACGTG